TGTGTCTTGCCCTTTTCTGCTTTTATTCTATTTATTCCTTTCTATCTTTCTTTTCTCTTTTTTGTTTCTTTCTGTCTTTAATTCTATTACTTCTATCCACATACACAGACATGTTCTTATATTTTTATTTGTCTGCTAACACTTTTTCTTTCCTTACTTGCTATCTCTGTTTTCTCTCTCCTTTTCCAATGGAAGTTACTTTCCATGACCTTATTAATATAGCCGCATGTATGGGAAACTGGCCAGCCCAGACAGTGTGCGCGTCATTAGCCAACGGTTCCTGAAGGAGCCCACTGAGTGCTTCCTTATCAGTAAGGTTTGTACAAGTATTGATATTGAAAATCTGATGTGTAACTTGATCTTCAGGGACCAGACCACCAGTTAATCCATGCAGATTTGTGTGTGTGCGCACGTGCTGACAGAGGTACTTTTTGACATTCAGTTTTGCTATACAGAAACAAGAATAATTGAACGTGTGTGTGTGTGTGTGTGTGTGTGCAAGAGGTAAGTAAAAGATTCAATTAGATTCTTCTAGGGGCTGGGGTGCAGATAAAGGAGCTGAAAGAAGGTCTTCATTTTGCAGTCATCATCTTTATGAATTCTTCATAGTTGATTGTCCATCGCCATCCATGTCTGCTTCTCTGATCATTTCATCTACTTCGTCTGTTAGTTTTTCTCCTAAATTTGTCATGACGTGGCGAAGCTCGGTCTCACAGATGTAGCCGTTGCAATTCTTGTCAAAGACTCGGAATGCCTCGCGGATTTCTCTTTCACTGTCTGTGTCTTCCATTTTTCTGGTCATCATTGTCAAGAACTCTGGGAAGTCAATGGGGCCATTACCATCTGCGTCTACCTTGCTGATCATATCCTGTATTTCGGCTTCAGTTGGGTCCTGACCCAGAGACCTCATGACAGTTCCAAGTTCCTTTGTTGTGACGGTGCCGCCTCCATCTTTATTGAATAGGGAGAAAGCCTTCTTGAATTCAACAACCTGCTCTTTGGTAAGCTGATCAGCCACGGTGCCAATGGAGAGAGGAAACCCAGAGGGAGAGAGGCGCTCTGCACCAGCACAGGGGCTGTAATGGCGGGGTGTCTCTGCGGCTTCTGCAGTGGCGACTGCTGCTATGGCTGCTGCTGCTTAGAGTGCCCAGTGATGTGTGCCGGTGTCATCGCCTCCTGCACCACTGCCCACTGCTAGTAATGGTGCCCCGTTGGAGACACGCTCAGCACCACTGCCTGAGATATTCATTTGTTAATGAAGTACCACTCAAGGTAAGTAGAAATTGCTGTAAACATCAATTTGGAATATACTAAATATGAATCTAGCAAAATCGAAGTCATCAAAATGAAATTAAACATTTAAGATTTATGTCCTAGGCTGAATTGGACTGAAATTGCCAATTTTGACTCAAAAAATGATATATTTTACTATGCCAGCAATAACACAATTAAGAGGAATGGAGTTGCCTTCATTATCAAAAAGGACAAATTTAAGATCTTTCTTGGAGTACAGTGTTGACTTTGATAGGATTAAATCTATCTGCCTTCAATTCAATTACTATTCCAATTTAAGCACCAACTACAAAAACCAATGATGAAAAAATTGAAAAATTCTACCAAACTCTTCAGTATGATAGTTATCAAACATCCATTTATGATTCATTTAGAATTATTGGAAATTAGAATGCAAAAATTGGAAACAAAGAGGAAGAAAATATGGTCTTGGAGGCAATAATGCAGCTGAAGATCACATGGTAGAATTCTGAAAGACCAGTGGCTTGTTCATAGCAAATACCTATTTTATACAACATATAAGGTAACTATACAATTGGACTTCTCCAGGTAGAAGGCACACAAATCAAATTGACTAGAAGCTCAATATCATTAGCTATACCCAGGCTAGGGTTTGATTGTGGAAAGGATATCAATTACTCATATTTAAGTTCAGGTTGAGGTTGGAGCTAAAGAAAATGAAACTAAGTCAATGAGTGCCAAAATATGACCTTGAGTCTATCCCACCTGAATTTTGAGGACATTTCAAGAACAATTTGATGCCGTGAATTCGTATGAACAAAAATATCATTCATAAAAAAATAAAAAGTCATTGAAAAGACAGGACAAAAAGAAAAGATCAAAGTGGATGCTCTAAGAGCATCTGAAACTTGCTCTTTATCAAACAGTAACTAGAGCAAATGGAAAAAATGATGACGTCAAAGAGTTGAATAGAAAATTTTCAAAGGGCAACTTGAGAAGACAAAGTAAAATATTATAATGAACTATGGGAAAATCTAGAGAAAACCAAAAATGAAAAAAACATGTTAAACTGAAATAACTAAAGAAAAAGATCCAAACCGGGAGTTGTAGCAGTGAAAGATTCTATGGGAAAAATATTGACTGATGCAAGGAGCATCAAAAGAAGATGGAAAGAGTACACAAAGTCACTGTGTCAAACAACAACTAATTGACATCCCACCATTTCAGAAGGTATCGTATAAGCAAGAACCAAGTTGCTGAAGGAAGAAATTCAAGCTACACTGAAAGCATTAGTCACGTCGCTACAAGCTCATGAAGCACTGGAAGCACTCACTTGCCTATGCCAGGAAATTTGGAAGACAACTACTTTGGTCAACTGGCTGGAAAAACATCTATATTTGTACCCATTCCAAAGTAAGGTGCCCAACAGAATGCTCAAATTATAGAACAGTGTCTTTGATATCACATGGAAGTAAAATTTTGCTGAAGATCACCCAAGAGTCACAGCAGTTAATTGACAGAGAACTGCCAGAGATTCAGGCTGATTCAGAAGAGAATGCGGAACAAAGGGTTTTATTGCAGATGTCAGATCAATCATGACTCAAAGCAGAAAATAACAGAAATATGTATTACTGTGTTTCATTGAGTAGGCCAAGGCATTCAACTATGTAGATCATAATGAACTATGGATAACCTTGAGAAGAATGGGAACTCCAAATTGCTTCATTGTACTCTTTTGGAACTTGTAAGTGGATTAAGAGGTAGTTTGGAGAATAGAACAAGAGATCATTTTATGGTTTAAAATTTGGAAAAATGTGCATCAAGGTTGCATCTTCTCTATATTAATTCAATATATATGCTGAGTGAATCATCAGAGAAGCTGGATTATAGGAAGAAGATTAATTGGAAGAAGGCTTTTTAACAGCCTGTGATATGCAGATGACGCAAACTTGCTTGCACAAAGTGAAGAGGACTTGAACTATTTGCCGATGGAGATCAAGGATTGCAAACTTTGGTATATATATTCAAAATCCTCCATGGGGTAAATCATGATAAATGGAGAAAAGATCGAAGTTGTCAAGGATTTGTCTTGCTTGAATCCACAATCAATGCTCATGAAAGCAGCAGTCAAGAGATCAAAAGACAAGTTGCATTGGGCAAAGGCACTGTACAAGACTTCTTTAGAATATTGAAAAGCTGTGAGGTTACTTTGAGGACTAAGGTGCACTGATCCCATGCCATGGTATTTTCAATTGCCTCATATGCATGTGAAAGTTGGACATTGAATAAGCAAGACCAAAAAATTGGAATCTCAGTGCTGGAGAAGAATATTCAAAGTATCATGGACTACTAAAAGGACAAACCTATGTGTCTTGGAAGACGTTTGTCTAGAGTGCTCCTTAGATGTAAGGATGACGAAATGTAATCTTACATACTTTGGACATCTTGTAAGGAGTGACCAGTCCCTGGAGAAGCACATCATGATTGGTAAGCAGAGGGGCAGTGAAAAAGAGGAAACCCCTCAATGAGATGGTTTGTCACAGTCACTGCAATTATGGCCTCAAGCACAGGAACAATTGTGAGGCTCTCACCGGACCTGGCATTGTTGTGTTCTGCTGTGCATAGTATCGCTATGGAGCTAGGGGTCAGAAGCAACTTTACAGCACCTAGCAACATAGATGACAGTGAAAACCAAAAACCAGGATTAAGCCTGTTAATTCCCTCTGACCATTGACCAGGGACTTGACTAGCCTTGCCCTCAGGTGTAGTGCGTCTGAAAGTAAATTAAAGCAGATATGTTGTTGTGAGGTGTCATTAATCTGTTCTGATCCATAACAATCCTAAACACAAGGCAAGTATAGTTAGGCTATATTTTAACATTTTATCCTTATTATTCCCCCTTTTGACCCAATTTTAGTTTGTTCTAGTTGTTATTTTCAGCTTTCTTTTACGTTGAGGTTTTTCTATGTTTTATTTTGTAATTGGTGAATTTTTTTGCATGATTTCCTTTACTTGAAATCCAGGACAGGTACATAAATAGAGACAGTAACTAGAATGACAATTTGTTAGGGTTATGTCAGGGGAGGTTGTTGTTGTTGTTGTAGGTGGTGGTGGTGGTGGGGATGTGGAGCTAATAACAAAGAGTCTAAAAATAAAGTTATTGTTATAAAATTGATTGTGATGATGATTGCACAACTTTAAAAAATATATTCAAGCCATTGAATTGTATGGTACATTAATTTTGTGTCAATAAACCTGTTGAACAAAAAAGTGAGTTAAAATGACTCTGTCCTTCTGAGGTATCCTTTT